GAAATAGTGTGAGTAGAATTGGCATCAGTTCTTTGAATGTTCGGTAGAATCTCTGGAGAAACTATGTGGGCCAGGGCTTTTTTTGTTGTTGGTAATTTTTTAATGACCTATTCAATTTCTTCTTTGGTTATGCATCTGTTCACATTTTCCACCTCACTCTGTGTTAGTTTAGGTAAGTAGTATGTTTGTAGCATTATGTCCATTTCTGCTAGATTTTCAAATTTGTTGGAGCATAGTTATTCATAGTATCCTGATACTATGCTTTTAATTTCCATTGGTTCTGTTGTGAAGTCACCAGTTCATTTCTTGGTCTTGTTGATTTTTTTTTTTTTTTTTCCTATTGTCTTTGTTTCCTGTTTGATTATTTCTGCTAGATTCTTTAGTATTTCTTCTCTTCTGGTGACTATAGGCTCTTTTTGCTGCCCATTTTCTAATTGTTCGAGATGTTGGGTTAAGGTGTTGAGAGTCTTTTTTGATATGTGTATTTATGGCTATAAATTGGACTTTAATCACTGCGTTTGCTGTGTCCCAAAGATTTTGGTATGTTGTGTTTTCATTCTCATTTGATTCAAGGAATTTTTTTAATAGCATTTTTTATTTCTTCTAATCCCCCAGTCATTTTCAAGAAGGGTGTTACTCAGTTTCAATGTATTTGCTTTTTTCTGTTGATCTTATTGTAGATTTCTAATTTTACAGCATTGTGATCTGAGAAGATGCTTTGCAGTGTTTCAGTGTTTTTTAAAAAAATTCATTAAGGCTTGCTTTGTGGCCTAACATACGGTCCATCCTGGAGAATATTCCGTGTGCACTGGAAAAGACTGTATGTTGTGCTGTTGTCTATAAGGTCAAGTTGGTGAGTTGTGTTGTTTAGTTCTTCTGTGTCTTTGTTGAGTTTCTTTCTAGTTGGTGTGTCTTTCATTGAAAGTGGCGTATTAAAGTCTCCTGCTATGACTATGGAGGCATCTGTCTGATTCACGTATTTTGGGGCTCTTTCATTGAGTGCATAGATATTTATTATTGTTATGTCCTCTCATTCAGTTGATGCTTTTAATCATTATATAATGTCCTTCCTTGTCTCTTACGGTAGTAAGACTCTTACAGTAGTAAGACTCTTAAGGTAAATTTTGTCAGCTATTAAGACTGCCATTCCTGCTCTTTTATGGTTGCCATTTGCTTGATACCTGTTTTTCCAACTTTTGATTTTTAGTCTATTTTTGTCTTTCTCTCTAAAGTGTGTCTTTTGTAGACAGCATAATGATGGTTTATGTTTTCTTATCCAGTCTGCAACTCTCCATTTCTTGAGTGGTGCATTTAATCCATTGACATTCAGTACAATTATTGACAAGTATGAATTTGTTGCTGTCATTTTATTATGTGTTTTTTGTGGTGTTACTGATTTCTTTGTTCCATATAATTTTCTGTGCTGAGCTCGATTTATGAATCGTGTTATCACTTCCTTCATTGCTATTGTATTAGTATTTGCTAAATATTTGTGCTTGTCTTCTTTTTTTATTTTGATGTGAATGTTTATCATTTTTGTTTGAGGTTACCCTGTGATTTGTAATTTTCTTCCCAAGTTTAAAACAGTCCGTTCTTTCTTGTGATTGTCTTGACTGCCTCACCATATAGAAGTTCTGAATCTACGCAGTTTTTTCCCTCTTTTTGATTTGTGGTTGTCCTCATTTGTCAGTTGATGTTTCTGGTTCTCTACTTACAATCTTGTAGACTTATTTACTTTGGATACTTGCATAACTGGATTAGTTTTTGCGTCTCTTGTAAGGTTGACCTGGCTTTAACAAATTCCTTTAATTTCTTCTTTTCTGGAAATGTCCTAATTTCACTATCATAGCTGGAGGCTTTTCCCGGCTCTTGCAGCTGCAGAGGCCAAGGAGCTCAAGGTTGGCAGGCAGTGTACTAGCTGTTGACTCCAACAAATGACAAATCCAAGATCTCCAGGCCAAATGGTGGATTGTTCACTCCTGGACAGTTGTAGGCAGCACAACAGAATCCCAATCCACAAAAGAGTGTCTCTTTTCCCAGAATGTCCATAAATATACTGAAAGCAGGCCACACCCCTAGGGGAACTCCCTTTCAACTGATTGGCTGCTCAAAAAGAATCATACTCATCTGATCCCATCATGGGAATAACCACATCACAACTGCTTAAACCACACAGAATTGTGGTCCAGCCAAGTTGACACACAGCTCCAACTATCACAGACACTTTTGCCAAGTATATAATTCTTGGTTGGAAATTTTTTTTCTTTCAGGGTTTTGTATCTACCATCCCATTCATTGCCTTCTTACCTGCATAGTTTGTGCCAAGAAATCAGAGCTTAGCGTTATTGGTTGCCCTTTGTAAGGTAACTTTTAGTTTTTCCCATGCTGCTTTCAGGATTCTTTCTTTGTCTTTGGTTTTGGTGAGTTTGATGATGATATATCTGGGTGATTTTCTTTTGGGGTCTATCCTATTTGGTGTTGGTTGGACTTATTGAATGGATATATTCTTATCTTTCATATTAGGAAAATTCTCTTCCAGCAAATCTTCGACAGTTTTCTCTGTGATTTTATTTGTCTCTTCCTGTTCTGGAATTACGATTACACGTAAGTTACTCCTTTTGATGGTATCCCACATGAACCTTAGATCAAAACAAAATGAAGAAAGCCTTTTTTTCTGATTGATCCCTTTCCAAAGAAGTATTGAGGTATTTGTCTTCAGTTTTACTGATTCTGTCTTCCATTTTAGTTCTACCCCTTTGCCATTCAAGGTGTTATCTATTTCTGAAAATTTAGTATTAATCTTCTGGATTTCTATCTATATATTTTGTCTCATTTCTAATTTTTCCTTTATTTTGTCATTTTGTTATTGTATTGAGCTTTGGAATTGTTTTAGGATTTTCTCTGTGGTTTTCTATATTTTGTCAGGGTTTCCTTGATCTGTTTCTCAATTTGTTGAAGGTACCTAAATAAAATTCTTATGCATTCCTTATCATAGAGTTCTAATGCTATTTCTTCTTCAGGGATGTGTTCTGGGTCAGTATCTTGCTCTCTTGTTTCTCTTGCTTCTTTGTGTAGATTGTGATGGTCTGTTTTCACCAATACATCATGACACTTTTGTGTTTATATTTAATTGGTGATTGTATGTTGGAGTGATTTGCTCAAAATTTTCATTTTCTTTGTTTTGTTTGGATATATCTAAGTAAGCAGGGTACTGTGCTCCTCTTATTGGCTAGTTGGCAGCATTTACGTACTTAACCATCTGTCTCCTTTCCAGTCATCAACCTTCCATATGTCTGTGGTGTCTTTGGCACATGGAGACCATTCTTAGGTCCCTGGAATCTGAATGGGAATGTTGTCATTTTAAATATCCAAAATGACTGCTGCTTGTAAGCATTCAAAATGGCTGCATGCTCCAGACAGCCAAAAGTCCCCAGCTCAGTTTGTCTCTTCCTTTGCTGTTTCCCTTTTCAGTCATCAGGTACCTGGGCAGTGCAGCCCTTAATGAACAGGGCCTATTTTTTTTCAGTTAATTCTCAGGTGCAAACACCACTTGGAAATACTCAGACTGTCCATGCCATCAGGACAGCTGATGGTCCACAGCTTCATTTGTCTCCTTAGTCACTGTTTTCATTCAGGTTTTTCTGTTAGTTGGTGTTTAATCTGCTTACGTATCCTTCCTTTAAAAGCTCAGGGGTCTAAGATTATCTTCTGTATCTGTGTCAATTGGTTAACTCTTTTCTTTGTTGAAGAGGGTCTGTGTAGCTTGTCTGACTATTCCACCATCTTACTGGAAGTCTCCTTGGCTTGGTTTTTCTGTAATAGTGTTGGGTGATGTGATGTATTCCCAGGTTCACTTCAGCTACAAATGAAATGTCTATATTTAGACAGTGGCACACACTAATGAAAACTCAGTTGACATCAGAACCTTCTATTTGCTTCAAAGATTCTATTATCTAAAGCAAAGCTTCTTAAAGCTGCTATATAAAACTGAGGGCCAATAACACTATTGCATGTGTGCCTTTTTTGTAATTCCTAAAGTAGTCAGTAAATAATTTTTGATCCCCTGAATGTTCTGAAATTTTACGTAAAGTTCAAAAGTCCAAGGAGGGGTCGCTATGAGTCGGGTCTGACTCGATGGCACATGACAACAACAACATACTTAGGCCTATGGAACCTAACATGCACAGAAATGGTTGAACTTATAAAACAGGTTAAGTGATAATATGTGATTTCAAATATGAAAACACAGATTTATAAAATTAACTAAGATGATTTGTAAATTTTCTTCACTATGTAAGGGATTCTGGACTTCACAACCATAAAAGAAACATACTAATGTTTTACCTTTGCTAGAAGAATTATGAAAGTTACTTCCTATTGAAATCCTAGGTCAGCTAGGGTCAGTTCTGAAAACTAGCTTTAAAACATGTTATCACCCAAAACTAGTTTTAAATAAATCTTCAGTGTGTGCTGTGTTCTGGAATAGTATTTTACAGTAACCCTCAATTTACGATGGAGTTCTGTTCTGATCAGTCCATTGTATATTGATGCTGATGTAGGTTGGAAACATTACATGTAAACTTACATGTATCTCTCAAAAAATACACAAAAATTTAATCCAATGATAAAGAAGAGTTGGGTAGTGTTGGCATTTTGTTGGTTGTGATACAGAAATGTTTTGAACAGTAAATCATAATACTGAACATCTGCAATTGAACAATATAACATTAGCAAATTATGCACTGCAAAATTGTATGTAGTATATAGTACTAACAATAAAATGTACCAAAGCAAAAAGCAAAAAACCAGATGATCATAAATGCACTTTGTCGTAACTCAAATACGTCTTAAGTCAGGTGGTACCTATAATAGACTTTATGCTTACTTTGATTTCTTTGGTCAGATAATATGTGAAAAAATTTGTTTAAAGATTATTATCCTATATAAACTGAAAAGATTTGTATTGTATTTGCTAAATATAATTGTTTTTACTTCCACAGGATGAATATTCCATCTTTCCTCAGACATACTCTATAGATATTAATGGTTATATTCTTGTGTACTCTGTTACATCAATCAAAAGGTAATAATCAATCCTTATGTTTGCTTGAATTTATCTGCTACACATACATAGCATTAATCCTTTTAAAAAATTTTGCTGTAAGAAGTAGTAACAAACTTAATTATGCTTGGGCAGTTCCAGCCCATCAGCTGCTCCATGAAAGAAAGATGAGGCAGTCTGCTTCCATAGAGATTTACAGCCTTGGAAACCCAACGAGGGTTGCTATGAGTTGGAATTGACTCATTGGCAGTGAATTTGGTTTGTTTGTTTGGGTGGTGCAGTGGCTAAGGCATTAGTTCAAACCCACCAGCTGCTCCACAGGAGAAAGATGTGGCAATCTGCTTCTGTAAAAATTTACAAGCCAGGAAACCCTGAGGGTTAGTTCTACTCTGTCCTGTAGGGTCACTATGAGTTGGAATTGAATGAATGGCAGTGTGTTTGTTTTATTATTGTTGTTGTTAGACTAAATACTTTTTAGTGATTGTTTTATGGAAAAAAATGAATTAAGAAAAAACATTATCTGGATAGATGTTCTGTTATATTGATAGAGTAAAAATCTGTATTGACCTAAAAGTGTCTAATTGAAATGGTAAATGTGTAAAAAATTATACATAAAATTTTTTCATTTTTGTATGTTTTTACCATATAATGTGGAGTGAACTTCCTAATAAAATTTTGGGATTTGGGTTAGTAGTATTTTATCCTTTGAATTTATGAAATAAGACCAGTAGTAACAGCCTCACTTACATAAAAATGAGCCTACTGTCTTTGAGAAAAATAATAGATTTTGGTTCCTCTATCCACACATTTTTTCACACTGTTCTCAACAAGGAGGAGTTAAAAATATAGTCTGTGACTGAGGCTGAGGAGAGTTGTCCATGTGAAGTAACAGAACTTGAAGCAATGAGATGCTTATATCTTTGAAGAATTCATGACTATTCAGGGCCAGTGGAGAGAGGAGAATTTTGTGGACATCTAGCTTTTGTTGAGCGTTTGTGACATGTCAGCAAGTTTACTATGCTCTTTATGTACGTGATAAATATCATTTCATTTAATCATTAGCTTAAATAGTCCTTTACCAGAGACATTCTTATTTCCCATTTTATGTAGAAAGGAACTGAGTGACAAACGGGGTCAGTATTTTGCCCAGGTTGTATAGACAATAGGTAGCAGTGTTGAGATTTTTATCCAGGCCTTGGATTGCATAGTCAAAGCCATCGCTATTGAATAGAACTTACTGTGATAATAGAAGCGTTCTATATCATTGCTGTTCCGTATGGTAGCCACTAGCTACATGTGGCTATTTAAAGTTAAATTAAATGAAATTAACTAATTAGCCATAGCCAAACACCTTGAGAGAGTCAGTATAGCTAGGCTGACAGGCTTGAGACCATAGTTATGGGAGTCAGTCAAGCTACACAAAAACATTGTTCTACATCCTGCTTTGGTGAGTAGCAGCTAGAGTCTTAAAAGCTTGTGAGTGTCTGTCTAAGATGCAACATTTGGTCTCTCATTGTCCAGAGCAAAGAAGAGTGAAGAAAATGAAAGAAGCAATGGAAATAGTTAGTCCAAGGGACTAGTGGACCATGGAAACCTCAGCCTACATGACCCTAAGACCAGAACTAGGTGGTGCCCAGCTACCACTGCCACTACTCAGAAAAGAATTGTAATAGAAGATTCTGCATAGAGTGGGAGAAAAATAAGGAACAAAACTCAAAATCATAGAGACTAGTGAAACCTCCATGACTGTGGCCCTATGCACATTTCAGTCCTTGAATTGAACTCTCTCCCATTGCGTAACTTGTAGCCAAACAATAGGTAGGCATCCAAGATGAACAGTTACACTGGATAGAACAGTCAACTGTGGGAGATCAGAAGTGCAGCATATGCACAGGGAAAAAAAGCTCAAATATCAGGAAAGCATAGTAAAGAAGGACACAGGGAAATGGTAACCACAGGGACAATGTGAGAAGAGAGCTGTTACATTGTGAGGATTGCAATCAGTATCATGAAACAAAATTTGTATGAACTGTTGGATGGAAAACAAATTTGCTCTGTAAACTTTGATCCAAATCACAGTTTACAAGCGCAACCTGGTAGTGGTACAATAGGCACATAGAACAGTGGTGCAGAAATGAGAACCCAGAAGTTAATCCATCTACCTGTGGAAAGATGATCTTTGGCAAAGATCCAGAGCTCATTAAATGAGGAAGAAATAGTCTCTTTAACAAATGGTACTGGCAAATCTGGACATCCATTTGCAGAAAAATGGAATAGGGTTCCTATCTCTCAGCATATGCAAAAGCTTACTTAGAATGGATCAGAGACCTAAATATAAAACCGAAAAGACCATTAAAGAAAGAGTAATGACCAATTTAGGGGTCCGAATACATGGCATAAATACACTATTACACATAACTGAAAATGCACAAATAGGAGAAGACAAACTAGATGACTTACTTGGGCCTACTAAAAATTAAACATTTAAGTGCATCAAAAGACTTTGCCAAAAGCATAAGAGAACCTACAAACTGGGGTGGGGAGGGATTGGCAACAGCATATCATACAAGAGATTAATCTCTGAAGTTCATAGAAACTTTTAATACCTCAACAAACAGTCCAATTAAAAATGGCCAGAGGACATGAACAGACACTTAACCAAAAAAGGCATTCAGGCACCTAAGAAACACATAAAGAAATGCTTGTGATAATTAGCTGTTAGATGCAAGTCGAAACAACAGTTATCTTTCATCTCACCCCAGCATCAATAGCAGAGTTCAAAAAAACAGAAAACAACAAATGTTGGTGGGGTATGGGAAGACTGGAACCCTCATGCACTGCTGGTGGGACTGTAAAATGGTGCAACCACTGTGGAAAACGGTATGACGCTTCCTTTAAAAGTTGGAAATAGAAATATCATATGATCCAGCATTCTTACTACTAGGTATATATCTCAGAGAGAAATAAGAGCCACAGCACAAATAATTAGATATATGCACACCCTTGTTAATTGCACCATTATTCACAGCTTCTTCTTCTTCTTGTGTGCTGTCGAGTTTGACCCAACTCATAGCAACCCATCCTTGGGTTCCGAGGCAGTATCACTATGGAAGTAGATTGCCCCATCTTCCTTCCAAGGAGTGGCTGGGGGTTTGAACTGCCAGCCTTCTAGTTAGCAGTCAAGTGCCTTAGGCACTACACTACCAGAGCTCCTATTATTCACAGTAGCAAAAAAAAGAAACAACCCAGGTGCTTATCAGTAGATGACTGGATAGACAAACTGTGGTACATACACACGATAAAATACTACACAACTTTAAAGAATAATGATGACTCTCTAAAACACTTCATAACATGGATGATCCTAGAGGATTTTATCCTGAGTGAAATTGTCATTCACAAAAGGACAAATATTGTATGAAATCACTACTGTAAAAAGTCAAAAGAAAAAGAAAGTTTACAAACAGAAACAATTGTTCTTTGAATGTTACTGGAGTAGAAGGTGAGGGTAAATCACTAAGTGGAAGGAGATACATACTAACTTGGATGAAAGGAATGAAAATATATAATGAGGAGGTCAGTACAAAATGATCAAGGCAAAGGAGGACACTGGGAGGAGCACAAGAATGAAAAGCAACAAAGGTAAATAAATAATGTTACATACACAGTCCTACAATAATCTGTGAGTGATTACATAGATACTCAGGCTGAATAGAGGTGGGATGGCAAATGAGACTATATCCACAAATATATATGGATTTGACACAGAATATTTCTACATATGTTTTTCTAAGTGCTATAAATATATCCATGAATATAGTATAGCATACAGGAGGCAAAGTTATGAAAACTTCTTAGCCATATCCAAACACCTTGAGATAATGAGGCACTGGGCCTGCGGGCTCAGGACTATAGTTTTGAGGATCACTAAGTTCAGTTGACATAACATAGTCCACAAAGATGATGTTCTGCGTCTTAAAAGCTTGTGAGTAGCCATCTAAGGTGCAACTAACTATTAGTCTCTTCCCTTCTGGAGCAGAGTGTAGAAAGTCAAAGATATACAAGGAAACAGTCCACAGGAGTAATGGACTACATGAACCCCAGCTTCCAACGCTGAGACAAAAAAGACTAGATGGTGCCTGGCTACCACTACTGACCCTGCTCTGAAGGGGATCACAATAGGATATCTCCCTGGGTAGAGGGAGAAAGATGTGGAAGTGGAACAAAACTTGAAATAAAGACCAGGCTTACTTGTCTGATAGAGACTGATGAAATGCCATAACTGTGTTAGAGATTCTTCAGACCTGAAGCTGAACTCACCCTTGTGGTTTAACTTTCGGCTGAATAACATAACGGGTCTATAATGTGAACAATAACACCAGGAAAGTACACAATCCTTAGAACAACCAACCATACACAATCAGAAGGGCTATTTACCCAGGGGTAAATCTCAAAAGGCAGGAAGGGGTAGGAAAAAAAAGCAGATGGAAATGGTAAACACAGGGAAGAAGTGGGAAGAGAGTGGTTACATTTTGGGAATTACAATTAACGTTCAAAACAAAGTATGTATGAATTATTGAATGGAAAACCAGTTTGTTCTATAAACTTACACCCAAATCAATAAAAAGAAACAAAACTAGAGAAAAGTAAAACATAATTTTGGGACTTGGTAGTTTTCTTGATGGCAAGAGCAGTTTAAATCGTAAAACTGTTAGTCCTTTTTGTCATATTAGTTAATATTTTCTTCTTTTTTTTTTATTTAGATTTGGGTGAAGATTTACAGAGCAAATTCACTCTCGATACAGCAGTTCACATATACTTTGTCTCATGTCATTGACCACAGTTTACCACAATGCAACAGCTCCCCTCCAA